GGAGAGGGAGAGGGGTCCCGTAGCCCGCTGGCCTCCTCACCTCCTTCACCATCTCTGCCGAGCCAGCCTCCCCGGCGTGGACTGTGCGGTGAATGCCGCTCCTCACAGCCTCCTGAGAAGACAAGAGCCAGGTCACGGGTGGCCCCAGGCAGGCCCAGGAAAGTTAAACGTGACCAAGGTCAGACAGCTCTGAAGTGGGAAGCCAAGCTCTGAACCCAGGCAGCGATTCTCCGGAGCCCCCACTCAACCCTGTGCTTCACCCCTTCCACAGAAGGCTGAGATGTCTGCTCCATACAGAGGCCCAGAGAAGAGACAGCCTTGCCCAAGGTCACAGCAAATCACTGGCAGAAACAGGCTCAAGCACAGTCTCCCAACAGCAAGTAGGAAATTCACAATTCCTAGAGCCCCCAGACCCAACCAAGACACGTGGGAACCCAGGAGGCCTCACACTCACCAGTCTGTGTGACTTCTCCCTACTGTGGACGGAGACAAGCTTCTCCCACAGCCCTCCAATGCCAGCCTCTCCCCACCTGCTTCCCTTGGGACCCACCTCGTAAGCCTTCAGGTGTCCAGGGAAGTGGCTGCTTCCTTGGATGGTCTCATCTCCAGCCAGATCAATGCCCACCACAGTCTGCTGCTGGTACTTCTTACACAGCTCCACCACCTCAGGGGACCAGTCTGTGGGTGAGATGCCCACCAGGCCTCTGTCAGCAGCAGCCTGGAGAGATCCTTCCAGAATGCCTGCTTGCTGCCCAAGCCACTTACCCCCCACCCTAGGCTAGTGCAACAGAGGGCCCAGTGTCCAATCTTCAAATCCTGACTGCCAAAGCCTAACCACATGAACTTCAGCAAACTCCACTCAGTGCCTCAGTTTCCTCTGTCGGAGGGGACATGACCAGCTACTGCACAGGGTCACAGTGAGGCTTTGCCCAGATTCTGTAACACTGAGGGCAGGGTCTAGGCCCAGTACACGACAGATGGCCATTCTCATTTGTCCCCACAATAGTCCTTACAGTGGGCTCCTCCTCACTTAGATGAGGAGAGGGAGACGCACACAATTTAACATTTAAATTTAAAACACAACTCATACTGGCATTACTAACCATATTGCTAACATACTGTGGACTCTTAACCAACAAAGTCATTAAGTGTTTTAAAAAGAATGAAAAATCACAGGCTTTGGAACCAGATGGCCCTGGGTTCAAGTTTGAGCTTTTTGCCTTTCTGACTGAGGAGCAAGAGGATTCCCCTCTCTGCCCCAGTTTCCTCATCTGTCAAGTAGGATAAACCATGGAAGCTCTCATAGGCTGCTGCAAGGATTGGAGAAAATACATGTAAGTCACCCCGTGCGGTGGGCCCGCCAGGTCAGCATTAACCTTTGCTGTCCTCTCTCCACAGTAAAGAATGACTGTGTATCTGAGGTCCAGAGAGGTGATGTGACTTGCTCAAGGTCACACAGTGGGGCTGTTCACCTTGGAAGTTCCATCCGTGGAGATCTGATCAGTTTGAGTCACAAGGGAGACCCCTCAGGTCCCAGAGATCAGAGTGGTTGGGTGATGGCACTTGGAGATCCCTGGACGAGAAGAGGCCTGACGCACAGGGTCTCAAGGGAGAACCGTGGGCTGGTCAGAGCCTGGCTTAGATTGTTTTCTATTATTCAGGCTCCTGTTTTTTATTTTGTAGAGTAATATTCTTTTTTTTCTGTGGTTTTAAAAAAATCTTTATTGTTAGAAGTATTACAGATGTCCCTCTTTTTTTCCCCCCTTTGAAAGACTCCTTTGGCTTTGAACCTCCCGCAGGTCTCCCTAGGGAGAGAAGTCTCTATTGTCAGGAAGTTCTGAGCCTGCCCAAGAGAACTCTGGTGACTTCAGGAAGCCCTAAGGTCCAGGTGGCAGCGGCCACAGGGGAGACCAGGTGCAGCACCAGCATTGTGCCGGGAGGTTGGGGCTGGTGTTAAATGTGTAGCCCAGGGCAGAGCTGAGGTCATACTCACTGGGCTCGTGGCGCATGCAGCAAAGGATGGACCGCATCTTCACCCCGAAGTCTCTCTCTCCCTCTTGCAGGCCCTGGTTCACTAGCTGCACTACCTCATCTGGGGTGAGGTCCCCTCTGTGTGGAGAGAGGAGTAGGGATGGGCCTGGGACAAAGGAAGTTCTAAAGGACAGCCCTGGGACTGTGAGAGAGGAGGAAGGAGAGTGAGGGGGAGAGGGGAGGGGGGAAAAGGGAGAGTGAG